TCAAAAGGGACTCAAACATGTTGAATGCTACACATCATAATAATGACATTAACAATTTCACATGCAATGCAATACGACATAAACATAACGTCAAAACAATATATTTTCATACACCTAAAGATGCATGCAAAAAACAAACACAACAAGCAAATCGATGTAAGATGCATGAAAACATGCAACGGTCAAATGAAATCAACCAAAGATGGTCGACCAAACTAAAGTGATCGGTCGATCTAGCGGAACAATTGATCAAGCCAAAGTGATCGGTCGATCGGGCCGGAACGACCATTCGATCTAGCCGGGGTGGCCGATCGAACCAAAGTGTTTGGTCAATCAGGTCGAGGTGGTTGATCGGACCCAAGTGATCGCACGATCAAAATAACACATGCAAATGCTACATTCAAAATGTTATGAAGGGCATGCAAGCAGTGAAACCCCATTGACCTAGCATAGGAACTAGGGTTTGGATGAAGTCATACCTACATTCCATTACACGATGTAACAGAGGGAATACCTCTAATTACTTGGCAAAATGTGAAGGAACTTTTCCACAAAAAAAAAAAAACCTACTTCTCTCACACACAACCTTCGTGCTATAGAGAAAAAAAATCAAAGGAATCCTTCATCCTCTAGAACAAAGTGACTTCAACCCATTGACGAGAATAGGACACAGGATGTGCGAGCATGAGGAGGTTGACCTAAGGCACCATCTAAGAGGGAGGAGAGTAATTCGGTAAGGATGCCGACAGCGAGAGAGGTGGCCGACATCCAACGCAGCGTGTGGCGGCTAGGCCATTTTCTCGAAAAAGTCCTCTCTGCCTGCGGTGAGGGCAAAGACCGATGAACAGAGAAGGGGGAGCTCGATTGGCAAGGAGGGATTCCGACGAGGAGGTCTTAGGTGGCGACACGAAAGGGAGAGCCCCATGCTTTTTCTTTGCGTGTAGAGAGGAGGCGCCAACTTGAGGGTCATGAAAAGAGGGGGAAGGCCGATGGTTGGGCGTTCGACTGTTAGGGGAGCGCCGACCAGAGAGCACTGGCATGAGAGGGAGAGAACAAGGAGTATGGCCGCTAGTAAGAGAAAGTTGCGATCTATCGACTGCTAGGGCTGGAGGGAAAAAAAAAAACTAAAGAAGTTTTTATATTATTTTAGGCCCCTTTTTAAATTTTTTTTATTATTTTATTTAAATGTATTGATTTGTCTGCAATTTACCCCCGCTCAAAATACTAGTAATATGGGTGTCCTCCCTAAGTAATTTCAACATTTCAAATGTGGTCGTGTAAGATGTTCCGTCATCCGGGGTCATCTGGATAAATTCGTCGATAATCAAGCTATTTTAAGCTCAATTTACATGTGTCGTGTCGAATAAGATTTGTTGGTTCGGTTGAAACCATCCAACATACCAAATGCCTATTGTTCTTTTCCTAAGCAAAAGCTAGAGTCTAGCAGAATGACCCTAACAACGTTCCCTTCAATACACACAAGGAGTCTCAAATGGATGTGTTGAGATCTGGGAAGCTATGTATGCATGAAATATAATCCCAGGTCGTTCAAGCTGACTTTTTATATATGTAACATCAAAAGGTAATACGAACAGTTTGTCTCATGTGGAGTTCTTGAGCGAGAAGGGAAGCTTATGGGGTTGTGCCTTCAGCTTTGCATTTAACTGGGAAGAGGGTGAGATGAATGGGAAGAAGTGGTAGAGAGGGGGAGAGAAATACCTCCTATAAGATATAAACTATTCCCCTTACTCACCAAGCTATTTGATAATAAGATTAACTTAGTATAATAATGTATGTTTAAAGATTAAGTGGACTGCTAGTCATTAGTTGTTCTTGAATTCGGATCTATTCAAAGGTTCTAGTTTATGAACTCTTCAATTTTATATAAATTGTACCTAAACATGAATATGTAGATGGAATCCAATGATCAAAACTTAAATCCTTTAAATACTAATTATTTTTATTATTCTTCTAATATTTAAGATATATTTGACAAAAATATCAGAAGTGTCGGAGGTTCTTTATCGACACAAAATATTAAAAAACCATATGTTGATGCTTGGGTCCAACTTGTTTAAGTCATTTTCTCATATTAAAGTGAGTGGACCATGTACATTCTAAGAAATTTGAACTTTATTATATTAGCACCCTTATTTGATTGCTCAAAATTTTTTTGGAGGGGAAATTTACTTATGTACAACACAATTCTGATGTATTTACATATCTAACAATTAAACTTTCATATTTATATTTATAGCATTTTGGTGTCATAAATATATTCATAAAAATGTATATTGAACTTTTAAAAGCATGTAAATTTAAAATCTTAGATGTTAAATATCTAAATACATCAATGTGTATGTCCAAGAAATGTGCTTGCTTTTTCTTTACTATTACGTAGATATTATGACCTTAACTTAGAACTCTAAGAAGATAGAAACTGAATTAAAATTGAGTTTGACGTTAGCCGATCGAGCGAACAGCCGACCACTCACAAGCAACTGATCGAGGAACTATCATAAGACTAAATGGTCATCCAAGTCGACCAGATACAAACACCCATTCCAACGATCGGGCAAAGGTCCAGACACACAAAAAGATGCCAAAATCAGTTACAAATATTAAGAGGCACAATAAAAGACTACAATTTCTTGTATCCCCTACTAATGTAGAGGTAGCCATATAATTTCCCACATTTCACTCTCTTTCTCTTAAAAATAGGGAGCCATATAATTTTCCACATTTGACACGTTCTCCTATAAGTATGGAGCCTATAACAAAAGGGGCCTTCTCGATCTTTAATTTTCTCATGTAAGGAGAGCTCTCACCCATTCTCAATGTAATTTCTCTTTTTATATATAAAATGGCTCACAGAGCCCAGGAATACCACGTTTTGGCCCTCAAGGCTAAGTCCCTATGCTCTCACTCTTTCACTCTTCTCTAAGCCTTTCTCTCTACTTCTCAATCCTATTTCCCATCGATCTATCCCTTGGGTGTGATTCACATTACAAATTTGGATTCAATATCTTGGCCAACCGCCTCGAGTCCGTCATCCCCATCCTAACTTGCTGTGCTCATATTTTGATTACTCAACTGTTCATACCTTCTCGAGGACTGTGACAAGGAAGGCATATGTATCTAATTTAATCAAATAAGGTATTTAATCATCTGTGAAGAGGTACAATTTTTTTCGCTCTACTCTTGTAGCTAAAAAACCTTTATGGTGATCTTTTAAAAGTCATACCTTTAGTGGTTATTCCTCATGAAAATTTAAGATAAGTATTTCCTGAATTTAATTTTATACATCTAATCTAGTTCAAGACAAATTTCGAGAAACTAAAACATGGGAAACAAAGTCTCTCCTCCAAGACGAGCAAACAAAACCTCACCTCCGGGAAGATAAAAAAAAGGCCTATCTTCCGGGACGAGTAAACAAAACCTTTTCGTCAGGATGAGCAAACATAGCCTCTCCTTCAGGATGATCAAATAAAGCCTGTCCTTTAGGATGAGCAAACAAAGTCTCTCCTCCATGACAAGCAAACAAAAAGCTCTCCTTCATGTTAATAAAAAATTCTCGTTTAAGTTCCTCGTATAGGCACAAAAAGATTTTTAGAAACTACGGAGATATGATTAGTTCATTGTGGTGGCTATATTTTTTATATATAATCACTCATTGCAAATTGAGAGTTTAGGGGCTTATGTATATGTCCAAAAAATGTGCTTACTTTTTCTTTACTATTGTGTAGATATTAAGACCTTAGCCTAAGACTATAAAAGAAAGCAGCTTGATTAAAACCAAGTTTTACGTTAGTCGACCGATCGAACGACCGACCACCCACAGGCAACCAATCAAAGAACTGTTAGATGACTGAAGATCTGTCAGGTGACTGAAGGGCTGCCAGACGAGTGAAGGGCTGCCAACCGACTAGAAATGATCATTCACGCTAATGACCAAAGAAATGCCCACGTACACAAAATGTTGTCATAATCAGTTACAAATACGAAGAGGTACAATAAAAGACAATAATGTCTTGTAACCAGTCTATTAATGTTAGCCATGCAATTTTTCACATTTTGTCCTCTTTCTTTTATAAATATGGAGCTCATGACATGTAAAAAGAGGACATTTCTCTCTTAACTTTTCTCGTATAGAGAGAACTCTCTGCCTTCTCAGTGTAATTTTTCTTTTTATATTTAAAATGAGTCATAGAGCTCGAGAATACCCCGTTTCGGCCTTCGGGGCCAAGTCCCAGTGCTCTCGCTCTCTCTCTCTCTCTCTTCTCTCACCCTTTTTCTCTATTTTAACCTCCTAATTCCCAAGGCTCTATTACTTGGTTGTTATTTACATGACAAATTTGAGTTCAACAATAAAGCTGTGTAGTACGTATGCAAACGCCCTATTTTAGAGGTGATGCAACCAGTATCATCCTCTTTCAATTTACTATTAATTTCAATCTCAAGGTGACCAAAGCATGTAGTTGAGTGTGAATTTGAAGAAGCTTGTTAAGGATGAAGTTTGATCCATGAGATTCGCGGTTGGATGATGTGATATGAAGGGATTGTCATCTAATATAGGAATAAGGAGGGGAAAATAAGAACTTGGCATGATTGAAGGCTTTGAGTGGGTGAGAAAGGGTGGGATAAATTTTGAAATAACAAATTATTCCAATGGAGAATGAGAAGATAATTAATTTGAAGAGGTGAGGTTGAGGTGATCATGAATCAGGAGCTGGGTGAATTTCTTCGTCGGCAGATCTTGATTCAAGAATAGCGACGTTTGGATGCATTGGATCGAAGGGAGAAGGTAGGATGAGATTGGTTATGGTTTAATTGTGAGTTTTGTGTGGGAGGGATAGGGAGATCTCAATGTGGAATAATGGGCTTACAATTGACACTTGATTAATTTTTTTTTCTAATCCGTGTGCACAACTCATATAAATGTTGGACTTTGGATCAGACCATTATGATTAAAAATAATAAACACTCAACTATTTGGCTAAATGAACTGCATAAATTAATAAGCTCCTTATTTGATCAAATTATTCAATAGGACTTGAAAACTTCGGACTTGGAAAACATATCATTTCATCTTGTACTTTCATGAGCGTCGCTTGTTATGCCTCTCCTAGAATTCAACCATGCCGCCGATCCCTAAACTCTTTCCTTGACTGCAACCGACGCTTGGACTATCTTGCCAAGTCCGGTCGCATGAGCGATGCCCGACGCCTGTTCGATGGAATGCCCCAACGAGACGACGTCTCCTGGAACACCCTCATTGCTGCCTACGCCCGCTCCGGCCTCTTTTCTGATGCCCTTCATCTCTTCCATAGCTGCCCTCAGCTCCACTCCTCCTCAATCCCCTGGTCCTCCCTCATCTCCGGCTTCTCCCGCCAGGGCCGTGCTGCAGATGCCCTACTCGTCTTCCGCCGCATGCTCGCTGCTGGCCTTCGTCCCGATTGCTATTCTCTGGGCGCCTACCTTCGTGCTTGTTCCATTCTCCCTTCCCACACCGCAGGCCATCTCGCCCACGCACTGGCCATCAAGTCCTCACTCGATGCCGATTCTTTCATAGCCGCCGCCCTTGTGAACATGTATTCCAAATGCGGTGAATCTGCGTTTGCAGGCGCGATCTTCACTTCCGTCCAACCAGAGCATCGGGCCAATAGGGTTCTCTGGACGGCCATCATCACAGCCCGCGTACAGGATGGCGATCACCTCAGTGCCATGGACTGCTTCCGCCTAATGCGAGCCGAGGATATGTATCCGAACCAGTTCACTCTTCCGAGCGTCCTGTCCGCATGCGCCTCTGAGCTCGCTATAGGCTTCGGTAAGCAGGTTCACACCCTTGCCGTTCATACAGGTCTCGACGCAAACCAATTCATCCAGAGTTCGCTGGTGAGCTTATACGCCAAATGTTCCGATTTCTCCGACGCGAAGATGGTTCTCCTGTCGGCGGAGCACGACGACCCGGTGTCATGGAACAGCCTTATAGTGATATGCTCCCATGCCGCGCTCCACGATGACGTACTCTCTCTTTTCGTGCAAATGCGTCAAAGATTTATCGAACTGGATGAATTCACGCACCCCTCTGCGCTCAACTCTGTTGCTGCCGTCGAAGATCTATGCAACGGATGCAGTCTGCATTGCTTGGTCTTGAAGACCGGCTTAACCAGCCATCAGCATGTCAGCAACGCCCTCGTTGACATGTATGCAAAGTGCGGGCGGCCCGAGATCGCCCTCAAGGTGTTCGACGATTTGCAGCATAAGGATATTGTTGGATGGACTGCGCTATATAACGGCTACGCAATGCACATCTCCAACGAGTCAGCGCTTCAGCTATACTTGTTAATGCGAGCTGCCTGGGTTGAACCGGACGAGTTCATCCTCTCGGGTGTACTCAGTTCTTGCGGCGAACTCACTCTACTCGAATCGGGTCGGCAGGTTCATGCCCTAGCAATCCGGCTCAGCCTCGACTCATTTCGATCAGTTGGGAACTCCACTGTAACCATGTATGCAAAGAGCGGGTGTATTGATGAGGCGCGTCTGGCTTTCGACTCAATGAGTCGGCGTGATGCCATAACTTGGACGGCTATCATTATGGGTTACGCTCAGAATGGCCGATGTCATGACTCTCTCCTACTCTTTGACTTGATGGTGCGAGAAGGCGCCCGACCAGACTACGTGACCTTCATCGGCCTCTTGTTCGCTTGCAGCCATGCTGGTTTGGTGGAGATAGGTCGGATGCACTTTGAGTCAATGGAGCGGGTCTATGGAGTGACCCCCGGGCCAGAGCACTATGCTTGCATGGTGGACCTATTGGGTCGGGCGAGTCGGGTTAGCGAGGCAGTAGATATACTAAGCCAGGCAGGTCATGCTGCTGATACGACTGTGTGGAAGACATTGCTAGCTGCTAGTAGAGTGCATTGCAATGTTGATGTGGCAGAGTGGGCGGCGAAGGAGCTGCTACGATTGGATCCAAGTGATGCAACAACTTATGTGATGCTCGCAAATGTGTACTCCCGGGCGGGTCGATGGATGGATGTCGCCATGATGAGGGGCATGATGAGGGCAACCGGCGTAAGCAAGGAGCCCGGGTGTAGTTGGGTGGAGGCGGGCGGGCAAGTACATGTGTTTCACGTGGAGGATAGGGCGCACCCATTGGCAGCTAAGATATTTGCCAAAGTGGGGGAGATGTTGGAGCGAGCCCTGGCGGAGGGGTATGTGGTGGACACGACGTGCGCGCTACAGGACGCGACAGAGGAGGAGAGAGAGCGGGGGTTGGCGCACCATAGCGAGAAGCTTGCTGTGGCATTTGGGTTGATGGACAGTCCGAAAGGTAAGCCCATACGAGTTTATAAGAATTTAAGGATTTGTGGGGATTGCCATACAGCAATTAAGTTGGTTGCTAAGGTGTACGAAAGAGTGATTGTGTTGAGGGATGCCAATTGCTTTCATCACTTCAGTGGGGGGAATTGCTCATGCTCTGATTTCTGGTAGTTGTATTTTCAAAATTTTGTTTTTTGAAGGAATGAGAAGATGTTATTGAAGGTCCTTTGTTGATCGTGAGATCATACTGTCGATTTTATCGGCTTAAATCCTAAGTTAGCAGATCGTATTCTTTGTGAGCAACTAATAGAAGTTGCTGAGTAAAACATGGATGAAGTGTACGAACTTTTGGTACAGACTAGAAGTATTTTATTTCGGCTTCGTTTCACATGCTTTATGATGCTTGATATATTATTATATTATAATTATTTATTACCATCACAGAATCATTCATTAAATTAGTGAGTTGAATACGAACAAATTTTTATGCTCAAATTATAAAATTTTGAATATTGTACTCATAGAATTTAATCAAGTATATTTATATGAGATTTTGTAGTGTGTCACGTGTAAACACGTCATGAAGAGACATGGTACTTTTGTTGGTTTTATGAATTTATGTTTTTTAATTTATCATTTTTAAATATTAAATTAAACAATGTTAATTTAAAAGTTTTTGGTATGACTTCACAGTATCTTGCGTGTAAGCCCATTTTAGCAACTTAATATTGTGAAGAGTATGCCTAAGCATTAAATAAGAAAGTATAAATCAAGCAACGAACATCTGGTTTGAGAAAGGGAAAACGAAACATAAAAGCATTTCTACAATTCAATCTTGGCGGGATCCAACTTTAAATCTCTCCAAGTGATCTTTTAGACAAATTAAATTTGACTCAATTTTAAATCCACCAACACCCTCATTTTGCCATAAAACCTGGGTTTATTAGATCCACTCTATCAACATGTTTAAAGAGATTTAAGTGGCATTGAAGATCATAGCTTGCAAGGGCAGCAAAAGCTATTGTTAGTTGCTTACCTCACACTATAAGATCTTGCTTGTTATCGCATTTTCCTCACCTTTTCCTTTGCCCTAATCTCATTGTCGTCATATGTTTTCTAAGTGAAATCACAGACCAAGCAATTAACAGATCGAGTGTTTGTCTCTGAAGTGAAATTCCAAACCAGTCAGGTTGGCTTTCATACGCCTCTATTAGCCATTTTCTCTCTTGTTTGTTAATTAGATTGCATTGGGACAGGGAATGTATCTTCCAGTACTTGAGTATGAGACTTTTGTCTCTAACTTTTATGGTATGAAACTGGATTTGGTTCTTTCAAGTTTAAACAAAAAGTTTTATTCTTGATTCTTTTGTTGCTTGTGTATTTGGATGGAGCAAGTGATCGTTTGAGAGCAACATTTTTGTCATTGTATATAAATTTATAACATATCTTTATTTTGATACATATGAAAGATGATTTGTGTTGTGATTTATTTATTTTTTATTATTTTTAGTTTATTTTGAGAGAGAGTTTCTTTTACCTTTTTTTAATAGATTGAATATTTCATTTGTTTGGTTTAACTATTAATACTGGCATTCCAAGGTATATCTTCTACATTGCTTCAATGCACATTTACAATTTGTTATCAAGATGCATTTAGTGGGTGTATATAAAATTATTTATTAAATAGTAGCAGTTGCAATAACTATTATATTTAGAGAAGCTTTGTGTGATTTTTGTTGTTGAACTCTTGCTTAGTTGCCATCTCTTATGTATGTTATTTGACCATATGGATGTTAGTGAAAGGGCTAGATTAGTACTTAAGGACTTACACTAACCCAATTTTGATAAAGATAAGGGGAATGTTGTTAGCTTGAGAATTGATTTAGGTTTGATTTATCTAATAAAAAAAGAGGGAATCATGTACATATACAGGCTTTAGATTACCAGACTAATTTATGGGTAGAATGTATTTCTATTTTCTTTAAATTGAATAAAATGAATAGTTGTGATTTTGTAGGTAAACGTCTATAATATTATTGAAAATAAACATTCGCTTATTTTTCTTTAAAATATATGAGTCTATACAAACACGCACATAGATAATTGTGCTCAATGTATTGGTGCTATTGATCAAACATATTCATGTGAAATCCCATTATTCAACATGTAGTTTTATTTTGTTCATTTTGTTGGAACTAAAATTTATTTCAATGCATAAATTATTTGATTTGTTTGCTTATAACTGTGAATGGAGCTAATTTAGGGTTGAGTAATCATTAGAGTTAATATCATCACCTTTATGAATTCTCATCACTTGCCATGTGCTTTGTAACATTCTATGGTAGAGTTTATTAAAATGTGTTATATTAGCCATCAGAACTATATAAATTTAAATGTTTATCTAGTATCTTTTTGTTATTATTTTTCTTTCATCCTTAATTGTGATTTGGCATTATTCACATACGTTGTATTTAATACCTAAGCTATATTAGTTGAAAAATAAAGTTTATAGAACTCTCTCTTTGAAAGAAAAAAATAAACTTTGAAAGTTATAAATATGCATGAATCTCCAATCCGAAGCAAGACAGATTGAGAAGGCTCTATAACCCATAGGTATCACAAAAATTAAGTGTGACATCGCAATCTGGAGTGTATTTAGGCACAGATGTAAGATCCTCCTTTTTGTCTCTCTCCTCATTATGTGGGGTATGAACATCCTATTCAAAGAGGACCTTGAAAATTAGAAAATAAAATATATCATTGAAGTTAACTAATTTAAATAGTAAATTCTCCTCTATCCTATAATAGGCTCAACCACCATATTCCCTCATTGCAAAATTATTATCCAATTATCTAGTTTCATGGTGATTTAAGATTCGATTTTATTCCTATAATTAGTTTTCTTTGATTTATAAAAAGTAGCCATGTAGTAGAATTCTTATAAGTTACCAGTAAAAATAAGGCAAAATAAAGTAAATGACCCAAAAGTTGATTCAAGTTCCAACAATTCAATAGTACTTAGAAAATTCCTCTTCTTAACTTGAGAGAAGCAACCAATAATACGGTTGCAAAAATCAATGTACCTTAAACACACTGTAAAAAAAATGATGATTTTTCCCTCTTAAATATTTAAAAAAATGTGAGTGACCAAGAATCAATAATGTGTAGTACTTACCCTATACATTCAAAGAACTTTCGATCAAGAAATTCTCAAATAAAAATGGTAAAAATTTTCCTAGCACAAAAAAAAATGTATGTTGTCTGATATTGAGTTCATGAACTTTAAATAATCTTTGTAGTATACATACTATTTTGTAGGTGTCTACTTTTTTCAAGTTAATTCCTATGTTAGTCGCTAAGCATGATAGCATGCATGAAGCCCTTTCTAAAGGACAAGTCATATGTCAAGGTAGTTATAGTAAGCATTATGCTACGGATGAGGATATACAAATTATTACTAAAAAAAATAAAGAGCTCGACTTGAACATCAAAGTAACCTTAACAACATAATGTTGCACTCGAGCAAATGATTAAGGAACAATATTTATATGGAAATATAACTAATGGTCTACTTAGGAGGGAGTTGTGGTGTGACATTGTTAGAGGTCTAAATCAAAAGGTTAGTCACATCAAACATATATGCACTCTTAATGATAAGATTTAAGAATATGAATGCCAACTTCAGAATGCACCATATGTACAGCAAGAGTGCTTGGGGTTGAGATGAAAAATTATGCATCTCTATTACATGTGAAGATATTTTGGATGAAATAATATTGGTAACCTCTTTATGAGTCTTATTCTTGTCTATTTTGAAGCTATCTAGCGAATTGATCTCAACACATGGATAATGTAATATCTTCCTTAGGAAATTCCTAAATAACTCTATTTCTAACATACCATTCCATCAATACGATATATTTGAAAAAAAAAATAATGTAGAAATTATTACAATTTGTATAGAATCTCGTTCAACAAATTAACATGTCATCGGGAAGGATCATGTTGGAAATGAAATGAATGATGTGTAAGATTTTACATAGATTGGAGATGATTTTGTTCACAAATAATGTTATTTTCATTGATTAAGTAGTTGACATGATATATTTTTCTTTTGTTGGAGCTGATGTCTTTCAAATAACTCATCTATTATAAAGTGCAAGTTGTGTTTCCAAACTTTTATGTGGGGATGTAATACAGGTGTCATAACAAACAAAAAAATGTGCTAAGAAGGAAGCCTGAAATAAACTTCTAATATGACCTACTGTGAAAGCATAATTTTTAAATAATATATTAGAATGACATGCTTACAAAATAATGGGTGGTTACCTTACAAAATTAGATAACATATTAAATATTTTAATTGAAGCAATTATTGTCATTCACAATACAATAAAATATAATAATTGTAATTCGAACACCCTGATTATATGAGAAAAAAGCTTTAATTTTGGATTGAACATTATGTTGCCACTCATCCACATTCACACCTTTTCCCTTCATGGATTTAGGTCTTAGGCTCCAGACTCTCGCTATTCAACTAATGTTATGCCCTCTTTATTGAGTTCATTTGGAGACACTAGTTGATTATTTGTCTTTTTGTGTGTTTTTTCTAAAATTTTTATAATCAAGTTTTTTGGAATATTTAATGATTTACTTATGGGTGTGCATTATTTGATCGTAACTAAAAAACTAAATCGAACTAAAGAAGTTTAGTCGAGTTGGTTCGATTTCAAATTTTTTTCATGTTTTTGGTTTTTAAAATATAAATATAAAATTTTTGGTTATCTGTTCAGTTTTATTTTTTCATTTAACCAAATAAATCAATAAACAAAAAAAAAATATAAATGAAGAATTCATGAAATAAAATTGATATTATACATGTAGGATGTCTACTTCTTGATATATTTTTAACTAAACTCCATCAAATTACTAAAATTCTATTTTTTCATGATGAAACCATTGAAAGCAAAATAAATTTCAGTTCAGTCAGTTTGTTTTTTCAAAATTTCAGATTTTTTTTGCAATTTGTTTGACAAATTTAAAAATTGAATCATCCAAACCGACAAACGCTTACCCCAAGATTTTATAATATCTAATGTTATTATTAGAAATCTTTTGTAAAAAGAATGCCTAATTATTTACAAATAATGCTTTCTAATTTCATTTGCAAAATGATTGATTATTTATAAAATTAGATGATACCATAAATAAATTAATACCATTAGTATTGAATAATATTTCCTTCAATGAAAAAATATTTATTCACAAGCATATGTTTAATAGACATTACAAAGGGCATTAATATGTGGATGATGTTTTAGTTGATAAACCTTTGTGAACCTTTAACTATTTTAGACTATCAATAGAGCC